TGATAAATAATGTGAATCTTATAAAATATATTAAAGAGTTTGATCAAGTTTGAGTTAGTACAGTTCCGATCTCAATCTAAATTTAAATTATTAGTAACTACTATATATAATCTTGTCAGCTTGGTAAGATGATGGCTCAAATCTCTCTTTATTATCTTGAAATGAACAAAATATATAAGAAATTTCTTCAACAAGAATTCTGCTACAGAGAAAAGGAATGAGAGAATTTTTACTAACTAGGGTTTTTCTTGGAGGTAGAGAAGAGATTTGATCGTCTATTTTTAACAAGGAAAGAATAATCTATATATATATATATATATATTAGATGAGATGAGACCTGTGGTGTCATCTTATCCTCTCCTCCAGCCTCTGCATGGATGGGATATTTTTCCAAATGGGGAATTCCCTTATTCACCTAAAGTATTGTATTAGAGTCTTCTCACTTGTGCTTTTTAAAGTTTTTGTAATTTAAATCTTTCCTAAATAATTTTTTCTTAGTTTTTAATATTTCACATATAATCACGTCTTTCTTACTCAAATAACATAAATGTTTTGTTTCGGTTAGTTTAATTTGATTTTTTGATTTAGTTTGACTCAATTTTTTAATTAAAATTAAATTATAAATACTCACGTCATATGTAAATCATTTCAACGTATAATATCTATAAAATAAAAAATAAAATTATTTCATATTTCTAATAAATTCAGTATGTACGAGAGATGAAGAATGAAGTATACACTTTTATCCTTAAATTCGATATTCCATAGCCGAATCACACTTTTTTAATTATTCATTATTGTTAAAATTTTAAAAACTTTTATCCTAAAAATTCATGTCTTTTCGTACAATTTTAGTAGTTTTCACAAACACATATAAAATATCATATTATTTATTACGTGCGCATAGAGTAAATAAATAATTAAAAATATGAAGAATATGGGATTTTAATTCAATGAAGAATTAAAAGTATATATCCCACCAAAATACAAAATTTATTTTTATAATTTCAAATAACATCATAGGTTATAAATGTTTAGACATACCTTTATATACAAAAAATAAATAAATAAATAAATCCTAAAATAGCTATATTTAGAATTAATATGCCCATAAGATCATGTTGATTTCAAATATATACATTTATCCATCACTATTAATTGCTCCACTTTAATTATTAAGTGGGTATTGAGATTAATTAACTACGCATGCTTCTTCAAAAGCAAGAGATAATTTGTAGGTCCCAGATTTACAGTAGCATCAAAGCGTAATATTACTGCACGTTTGCCAATTTCAATCATGTCAAAAATATTCCCTTTTCCTTCTAACCAAACAAAGAAAAAGAGAAAAGAAAAGAAAAGAAAATTTCAATAGTGAGTGATAAATAAAAAATTACTCTCAATAAATTTAAATTTTAATATAAAAATGAAAGAAATAAATATGCAAATTTAAAATAATAAGTGTAAGCATAATCATTTATGTTTATTTACCATAATTTAATAGAAATTAAGAAATAATTTATTTTCTGGATTTACATTAATTTCTTAAAGGGAACAACAAGAAGGGGTGGCCTGTCCCTTATTGTGAACTAATTTTTTTAAGGGCCCGACCCGAATGTTGGACCCAATTGTAATTTCGGGCCAAGCCCATTTCAGTAGTGGGCAAATTGAAGGCAATATGTATATATGAATATTTGTACAAAGAAATAATATTAACCCAAAACCCCAAAAATAAATAAATGAAATTACAAATAAGGTATTTTTTTTCTTTCATAATTTGAAAATAAATAAGATTTGGGTATGAGTAGGGATTTATAATGATGAAATTGAGTAGTGGGATCCATGTTCATTACCCACTAACAATTAACAAATTAAATGTGTTCGTGTGTGCTAATTATTATTATTATTATATATATATATATATACTTATATCACTTTATATGCCACTACTTTACGTCTTGTCTTTACTTCAATTTCCTATAAATAAATTAATTTTTTTGAAAAAAGTATTGTTAATATATATATATGTGTGTGTGTGTAAAAATCCATTAATGATAATTAGGGCGATTTTTCTTTTCTTTTTTTTTTTTTTTTCTGTGGAAATCTAATTAGTAGATTTTATAAGATGCCCTCGCACGTACGTATTTGAAGAGGTATACACGTGTTTCGACCTTATTGGCCGGTCAATAAATACTACATGATACGTATTATTATCACTCAATAATAAATATCTAACATTTGAATCTTGACCGTTTTTTGTTTCTAACATACACGACAAGTATTTGCACGAATTGAAAGGTATGTTTGCATAATTTAATGATCTATATATATATATATATACACAATAACAAGTAATACTAAAATTAACCTATATATATATATATATTTTTATTGTTCCAATTATAATGTTATATATTAACCATTGTTGGTACATTTCTTAGTTTATATGATATCATTGATTGTAAACTATAATTTTGTCTCATAAACTAAACTAATTTTTCTAATGGGTAGTTCTATAATTTTCTATCATGCATAAATATTTATATGTTGTCTTTAACACGTACTCGTATATAATCATAAATTATATGTAATACCCACGCACGTATGTAATGTATATATATAAACATAATTGATAGTGTCTTGCAAGTTACATTTGTAAATTAATCATTCCTCCTCATTTGCCTTCCATGCGTCTAAGCAAAACATCTCTTTCTTCTTTTTTTTTTGGAAATCGAGGATTAATTATGAAATTGGATACCCCCCACAAATCACTACCAAAAAGGCACATAAAAAATGGATGCCACACGATTTACACATTATTATTATTATTATTATTATGCCTGTCATGTGTGTATGGGGAAGTAAAAGTCAAAAATGCTGTTTGAAAAAGAAAATAATTTACCATTTTTATTATAATTTTAATTAAATAAAAAGAAAATAATAAATGTTCATGATTGAGACTAATTTAGACTATTAGTTGAATTTAAAAAATAAAAAATAAAAAATTAGACTGAAGACTTTAATCTACAACATAATATATACTTAATCAATTAGAATTAGAATTGAATTTAGATTAGATTAGATTATACGTAAACCCATCCGATCAAATTCAGTTTTTTCAATTTGGATCGAAATTTGCTTACCCCTCACTAATTTATTGCGGTGTAATTAGAGTTTAGTAATTTAAAAATGTAAGTCGGCCAATAAAAAAGAGCGACCGACCCACCCCTGCCTAACAATAAATTAAATTTTTTATAGTAATAAAAATATTCAATAAGTGATTTATTTTATAAATAAAAATTAAAGTTGACTAAATGTTTAGTCCGTGTGGAAAAGAAATAAGAAATTTAGAATATAATTATTTAATGTTTTTTCAAGCATCACCGTCTTATATGACTCGATTAAAATTGGGGGTTGGGTACAGATGGGCCGCAGCTGTGCTCTGCATTACTTAAAAACTAATTTCATTTACGTAGTAACTCGCTGGGAATACAATTCAGTTGGAGTCAATGTCTTGGACAAATTTTTTTAGCTAATGAATTAATAATAATAACAATTATTGAGTATTATTTTTAATTAATGGTTTTGATGTTTGCAATAAGTAAATATATTTGAATTAAAAATGAGTATTGGGGTAATAATGGTCGAATTAAACGTTTTTTCAACATATTGACTTTGAAAGTTAAATGGTTTTATCCACCAAATTGGACTTTTTTTTTTATTTTTATTTTTTATTTTCAAGGGTTGAAATTTGCGGTTAACAAAACCAAATTTAAAGATGTGTGTAATGTTTTTTTTATTATTATTATTATAAAAAAGCCCAATATATAAGCTTACTTACTTACTTTATATATACATAAAAAAAAAAATTAAAAAAAAAAAAAAAAAAAAAAAAAGGAAGAAGAAAGAAATCGTAATTAATGGTTTTCATGGGGAAGTACTTTACAAAAAGTCTGCAACATGTGTGCGGTGCCTAATTTCACATTACACGTTTTCTGGTAAGTCATTATTATCAGAATACATATTTAATGGTGAAATAATTTAATTTTTAAATAATAATAAATATTACGCAATAAACAACTGGAATTATTTACGGCCAAAAATGGAAAAAAGTCAGAAGGTCGGGGTGGTGATGAATTTTAGCAGGAAAAACGTCTGAATTTTTAATTTAATTTAAATACCCAATTAGTTTAATTTAGAAGAATATCAAAATATTACCTTGAAATAAATAAAAAAAATATTCTGTACGTAGAAAATTAAATAAAAATACGGGTACGCTTTGAATTAGCTTCCTTCCACAAATCACAACTCAACGTACAACTGACGTCATCGAAGACCGACCAACCGAACCCTCTTCCCTCCATTTGCTGCCTGGTCCCACCACCCATCCCCACGTTCACCCTCCGCCTTGTACTCCCACGCTCCACCCCCACCGCGTGTATCTCTTCTCCACATCACCACCCTTCGTTCCCAAACTCCTCTCCCGATCAACCGTCCTCCTCCCGCGTTGCTTAAATTTCTGTATTGCACGCGCGGATACTCCCCCCACTCTTAACAAAACAACTTTTGGTTTGACCGAAGACCCAAAAGCGACATAAACAAATCTTTTTATTTAAAATTTAAATATCATTCTTTTCAAAAGTAAAAAAAAATAAAAAAAAAAAAAAGCTCTGGACGTCCCCAACCCTTTGACTCTTTCTCTCTCCTTTCTCTCCTCTTTAAACTCCCCCCCCCTCCACTCTCCCTTCCTCCCCACATTTCTATTTTTTTTATTTTTCCCACCCCCTCTCAGTCTCCTGCTGAATCTTTCTATCATTTTCTCCCTCTCCAAACAGAAAGAAAGATACGCTGTCAACCAAAGATGGTCAGGGATGATTTGTACATTACGATTCCCACCTTCTTCAGGTGTCCTATATCTCTCGACGTCATGAAGTCGCCGGTCAGCCTCTGCACCGGAGTTACTTACGACCGTGCTAGTATACAGCGCTGGCTCGACAACGGTAATAATACCTGCCCCGCCACCATGCAGGTTCTCCAGAGCAAGGAGTTCGTCCCTAACCGAACGCTCCAGCGGCTCATCCAGATCTGGTCTGACTCGGTCCGCCACAGAGTCGACTCGCCTGACTCGATCCCCGCTTCTGCTCCAACCCAGGACCAGGTCAAACTCATCATGAGAGATTTCCAACTTAAAAACAACGACGCCGATCACCGCCTCCACTTGCTATCGAAGATTGTCCTCTTCGCGAGGGAATCCGAGGAAAATAGAGATTTCCTCGCCAAGACGGAACAGCTCGTGCCATTGCTTGTGGATCTCATTTGCAATGTCGACGGTAAATCTCCAAAAAATATTCAGATAATCGAACAGGTCCTTAGGATCCTAGACGTGATCAGGACGAAAATTGGAGACCGCGAGCAGCTAAGCAACCTGATAATGAAAAGCGATCGCGATTGCCTAACTGCAATCCTCTTGGCGTTGCAACAAGGAAGTGTGGATTCAAAAATTGAATCGGTTAGGGTTTTGGAATATGTCGCCATTGATGCGCAATTAAAGCTCGTGATCGCCGAAAGAAAGGGACTATTGCAGGAATTAATGAAATCAGTGAGGACGGAAGCGGATCCAAGCTTGATCGAGGCGACCTTATCGTGCTTAATTGCGATTGCGGTGCCGAAGCGAGTCAGAGTGAGCTTGGTGCGGATGAAAGTAGTTACGGAGCTAAAGAAATTGTTAACAGAACCGAACTCGAGCGTTGCAATAACAGAGAAGGTGTTGAAGTTGCTGGAGATGGTGTCGTCTTGCAAAGAAGGTAGAGGGGAGATATGCGAAGACAGTGGATGCGTGCAAGGAATATTGCAGAAGGTGCTGAAAGTGTCGAACACGGCGACGGATCACGCAGTTACCATACTATGGAGCGTATGCTACCTGTTCAGGGACCAGAGAGCGCAGGAGGCTGTGGCAAGTAGCAATGGAATGACGAAGATTCTGCTGCTGATGCAGAGCAATTGCTCGCCGTCAGTGCGGCAAATGTCGGCGGATTTGCTCAAGGTGTTCCGGGTAAACTCCAAGTCCTGCCTATCCAGTTACGATACCAAGACAACTCATATTATGCCCTTTTGATCAAAACACCTGATGATAGACTTTTTTTTTTTTTTTTTTTTTTTTTTTTCATTTTTGAAAATATTGTTTCTCTTTCTGTAATTGAAAAGACAGAGAGGGAGACGCTTTGTAAATCGAAAGGAAATTTTGTTAGTCAAATACACAAGAGATAAATTCATTTTCATTTGGGGTTTTCAGTCTTGTTTTAGAGATCAAACCATTCATGTCTCTTGTTTGAGAAAACAAAAATGCATGAAATATATTATATAAGACAAGAACCAAGTGACGGTAGGTGCAGTAAGTCATCAATCTATGTAAACTGTGACTGGGTCTATTTTGGTGGTTAATCCTTTTAAACAAATTGCTTGTGGATTGCCGGCTAAGAAAATTTTAAACACCTAACACGATTACTGTGATCAAAATCTTTCTTCATTTTTGAAGAAAATTATTTAAATGGGTAAAATTTTTTCCGTCTGAGATTTGGAATTAGGTAGGTCTGTCTTATAATAAAGCTCAAAAAATCTTCAAACTTTCTCATGAGATTGTTATGTCATTCCCAACAAAATGTTATTGACTTAATTAATCTTTGTTACTCGGTAAATTATTGTAGGTACATAATTCTGCAAGCATCTTGTTTAAGTTAGTGTTTAATCATGATATACTGGTTGAGCTTTACTATATATGATTATGTTAATTAAGTCCTTAAAAGGGAAATGGAAAGCGCAGACAGACAAGTCTTGAGGTGGCAATGAATTGGATACAAACCCATTTCAATTCCAACTCATCTAGATTTCTTCTTCTTCTTCTTCTAGTTTTCTACGGATTCAAATTACAATAAACACCCAAGATTTAAAATGGTACAAGAAACCTTGAGAAAGAAAAAAGGAAAAAGAAGAGAGAGAGACGTAAAGATTAGGGCATTGACAAACTCAAGTCCAAGGAGTTTAATTTCCAAGGAAGAAATTGCCGCAATTGCTGAAGTGAGGTTGCTTTGCCCATTTAATTTATTTTAAATTCAACATTTGCAGAAAGAGATGGAATCACAAATCTGAAAAAGAAATTTGAGAAAGATAGTCTTTGACCGCTCCAATCTCAACTATTTACTATTTTATTTTGTACACCAACATTGGCCCCAGAGAGTGCTCATCCTCTTTATATTTTGTATATGTATACCACCATTAAATTAATTTATAACCACAACATGGTATGGTATGGAACTCCCTAAACCCCATATCATATCCCCTCATATGGTGTAACGCAAAATATTATTCTCGTTCAAAAATTAGAAAAAAAAAAAAAGAAGCAAATCTAATACACTTCAGTTATGACATTAATTATATTATACATCATCCGATAAATTGAGTATCATATAAATTCTCATACTTGATTAACACGTGACAAACCATAAAGTAGAATCTTTATAGTGGTAAAAAAATTCAACTCTGAATTTTCCAAAACCGAGAAAGAATTCGCAGCTGAAAAGATTGACACGATTTTGCAACTGTGAATTGATCATTCTGAGAATTGCAAAAAGTAAACTGAATTGGTTTGAAGTGGTAGAGGGGAATAAGGTGCTTGAAATGGCTTGTCTAATCTCTAAGTGGAATTCTCTGTTATTGCCCTACTAATACCCTTCAACCCCACAATTCTATTTCTCTTCTTCAATAATAATACTAATCTAATTAATAAAGGAAAAAGCTTGGGGGATTTGTATGATTATGTCTTAAACCTTAACACTTTTTCCAAATTCCTCCACTAATTTCCTAGGGTTTGTACCAATGGATATCAACTTGAATAGTTTTAGACAACTTGTTCTGAAAAGAAACAGAAGATTAAGAGCATTTGGTTGTTGGAAGACTGAGAGCCCACAGAGCATGTTGGGACGAAGCCCAGTGGGGTTTCAAATAATTATCTTTGGGAGGAAATGAGAAGGAGAGAGAATTATTACTTTACCCATTTAAAAAAAAAAAAAAAAAAAAAAAAATTGAATGTCAAGAAAGTAAATTTAGGGTTGAATTTTATTATCATCCACAATGTATTTTGTAAATTAATCATATAATAATTAGTCTCCAATTAATTAGAGGAGGGTGATGACCCTGTCAATATCTCAAATCTTTAGATTATATTAAGTGTAGGTGATATTTAATATATCCCATGCGAGGCATGGGTCAATCATTAACATTAATCTACGAACAATATTAATCATTTTGAATTAACAAAGTGATGCAAATGAAATCAACATAAACTAAAATATAATTAAAAAGGTCTCTAATTGTTTCAAAAGGTTATATATATATATATATATATATAATGAAGAATACGGATAAACAATTCAAAACCTAGCTAGGATAGAGGGAAGGCCCATTGACTCGAGACCATCAATGAACCCACCAACTCCAAAATAAATGTTACTCCAAACCCGGAGTCAACATTTTGACCATGTATCTTAAATTCCTTCTCCTCCTTTCTTATAATTACCATGTACATATATATATATATATATATATATATAATCTGAAGCAGTTGTGAATAATTTGAGATCTAAAAGGTAAAAAGGGAATGTGGGTTGAATAAGATCCGTAGGTTAAAATTAAAGTATGTACATGTATCCAAATCATATATGTATATATATATATATATATATCAAAATGTTGATGTTGATGATGTGATTTTTGCATTTGGGTGCTCGTAGATTCTCTTGTACACTCAAGATATTGCCCTTTCCCTGTACATGCACGTCTATATATATATATATGTATAGTGTGTGTGTGTGTGTGTGTGTGATGGTAAGGTATGAAGGCAAAAAGTGAATGCATATATGACTTGATTTGATGAGTATTGAAATGACAAAATTTCATCACTTAATTTTTTTTTTTATATATAGAATATATATTTGGGAATAGATCGCCATCAATCAGTCACATTTGTATATTTTCTTACTTTCTAAATTCAATTTTTGAGTCAACAACATGATGTATTTTCAGAAATATTCAATTCCAAACTGCCCTCAAAATTCCATCCATGCTTCTTATTTTTACTTCATTTCATATTTATTCCTTTCGTCACCCACTTTTGTAAGAATCACCATTATCCATTGTAATAATCATTTAAATCTTTAATTAAGAGCCTAATAATCTGTTGATTTGGTCATTACCTAATTGTTTGACTGTTTTTAGAGTTGTAATTACTATAAATAAGATAATTTAATTTTTATTAAATATTTATCTTATTTAAATACATTATGACAAAATTTCATCACTTAATTTTTAACTCTAGCAGGAGTTTGAACCGTCTAAATTAATTCTGTTAACTTAATTTAGGAATGTTTATTGTGATTAATTAAGTGATAATAATATTAATTAATAATAACCAAAAAGAAAATTGATTAAGGAAATTATAATGGAGGGAGAAGTGCCACGACGAGTGACAGAAAATTATAATTAATAGAAATATTTGGTCAATGATGGAGGAACAATTACAAACCCACAACCCATACATACATACATACATACACACGTGACTATCTCTCTCTCTTTCTCTCTTTCACACGTCTCTATCTTCTTCTTTTTCTTTTATCCCCCCATTATTTTCATTATGGTGTTATATATATATATATATTAAAATATTAATCATAACTTTTTTTTTTTTTTTTTTTTCTTACCATCAAATATTTGATTTTAATTATTAAATCACATCAAATCTAGAAAAAAAAAAAAAGGGGGTGGGAAGAGATATATTTTAGAGGTTGGGGGGACTCCAACAAATGAAATAAACAATCAATTAGAAATATGGGTATCATATCAATTATAATGTTCTCATTTTTTGGGAAGACTAAATTATTTAATTATATATATATATATAGAGAGAGAGAGAGATTGATCCTGTTTATATAGGTATAGGTATAGGTATAGGTATATACGTATATATGTTTGACAAAAAAGAAATAATCTAACTCAAGAAATGATAAGTTGGCACTTCAAAATAAAAAATAAAAATAGTGATTAGGTATCGTAAATCATTTAATCACAGCCATGCATTAATTAGTTTTTATTTTATAATAAATTTTAAGTAATTGAGGATCTTCGAATCTCCAAACAGAGATCCCTAATCAACAATTAATCATCCTTAATTAAATTAATTAATTCAAAATGCCAGCAAGAGGCAAAAAGGATTAATTGTGAAAGGCGCAGCCCATGAGGATAATGTAAATAGAGAGAGCATGTGAGTTTTATATTTTTATAATAATACCACAACATTGACCCCTAGATTTTGTAAACCAGATATGATCTCATAATTATTTCCCCCCTTGCATGTGTATGTACGCATCAATGTTACCTCTTTTTGTCCCCCCCACCCCCAAAAAAAGTGCAGGAATGAATATCTTTTTAATTAATGAAAAATATACTATACTTAATTATGTGGATTATTCTGGTGATTAGTTCTAATTATAATTAATAATAATAATAATGGGTGGCTTGCCAACTTTTGGCTTTAATGCTTTAGGAAATCAAAGAAGATCAATCCCAGATATGCACTAACAAATTTGGACGTGCTTCATCACTTTCCTACTTCTGCTTAGGTGTAGTAGTTTTTTTTTTTAAAAAAATTATTATTATTTGTTACGTGATTAACTAATGATACATATACAAATATATATAGATATAATTTATTAAAAAAAATTAGATTATTATATTAAATAAATCAAGATGATTAAGAAAAAAGCACGGTGCAACTTTTGGTGTTAAATGAGAAGAAAATCGAATCAAGATTTGCTCCTAACTAATAGGTGGTCTCTAATTGTTTCAAAAAATAAAATAAAATAAAATAATCATCCCCCTTAATTACATAATAATTTAAGCATGCCTTTTTCTCTCTCTCTCTCTCTCTCTCTCTCTCTCTCTCTCTCTCCACACTCCATACACCACACCCTTGCTTCTTGTATCTGTATGTATGTGTATACATATATGTATATATAGACATATGTGTACACATACATGTTAGCCCCATTGCATATCTTACACGGGTATACTTTCATATGCTATAAATCATCTCCTCAACGCAAACACTAAGGAGCTATACACCCGCTGGTTTTTGAGGTCAGTTTCCTTTTTTCATTTTTTCCATTTTACACCTTTTAGTTTCTCAAACCATCATTATAATCTACTTGTTTGTGTTTGTTTTAATTAATTACGGCATGTACTAAATGCGTTTTACTCCTTTTTCTGCTTTGAATCTCTTATCATCATCATCTACGTATACAATTATTTGATTATCATATATATATATATATATTTTGCTTTTGGGTATTCGTTTTGCCTCTTCTCCATCTACTACTCCCCCTCTTGCTGTCTCTCTCTCTCTCAACATATATATACATATATATGTATGCAGAAATACAGATTATATGGTTTATACATAGATATATATATCAAAGCAAAGAAGAACAATTCAACTTCTTTATGGTGTTTTTTGTTTATAGAAATTTATAGGTTCCAAACACGGTGTAAATGTTTGAATGGGTAGGAGGTGAAGATACCAAATGTCGTCGTATTATTTACATATATACTGTTTTGTTTATGACCCAACTGTAAAGTATAGGCTGAAGAAAAATAGAAATGTAAGAATAGACATGTGAATTCTGAAATGTTCACAAAAAAAAAGTTGGTAAAGAACAAAATAATTGAGTAGGACCAAACACGGTCTTCTTCTCTTTGAGAATTAGAGCCACCACTAATTTATCTGTCAAATTACCTTTATATCTCTCCTAACTAATAAAAACTTTTGTTAAAAAAGGTCTTAATATAACATTTTAATTTGTATTAAGATAATTAAAATGTAATTACACGTGTGGTGTACAGATTAGATTAGATCTATGAGGCGCCCATATCACATCTAATATCTCTTGGACAGATAAAAACGGCTGCCAGCCACCTTGGACGAATCACCTTTTTTTTTTTTTTTTTTTTAAAAAAAAATGTAATTTGTGGCATAATCCACTTTTAAGTCTGCGTACGTGTACGTGTGATGTGTTGGTTTGGCAAGGAGCACAAGTCTTAATCCCCCCCATTAACCCATTTCTTAATCATTTGATTAACCCAAATTCATAAACAAACAAACTAAGCTTATCTACTCTAAATGTGTGATTAATTAAACACTGATTGCAAAATAATATCATCATCATATTCGAAAGACAAGAGGTGGGTCCCGTACTTACAGAGGGTGACACTTGTTTTTTTGGAAGCTTCTACCGATTCAAGAGCCGCATTGGCTAATGGTGGACCATCACACACCTAACTCTTTCTCTTTCTTTTCTTTTCTTTTCTTCTTTTTTTCTTCCCCTACTCTCTTCGTACGCCACCCGCATATCTCTCTACCTCTCTCTGTTTCTCCATCATTCCGTACACCATCTTTCTTTCTCTGTCAGTGGCTTCTAAGTAAGCCACCAAAAAAAGATTGTTACAGAGTACCGGAATGTGATTTTCTCCCTACTCGCACAAAACAGAGACATAATCGTGTATGTGACGACGAACCCACATCATCTCCTTCCGAATTGATACTATGTTTTTCATTTTTTCTTGCGATTTTTTGGCAAAGGGAAAAGATTTCCCTTCTGATTTTGATTTCAATGAGCGAAAATGGAAGACCAACCTGAGAAAGTAGACATGGGAAGAAGCCCACTACTCTTCTTTTCAAATTTTTTGAAAGGGATCACGTGGGTTTCTTGTTTTGGTATCGAATTTACTCCTCCCTGCAGACTAACCAAAGTGAGGACAGACCCGAATAGGATTCAACCTGCTTTCCTTTCCTTTGAAATTATATTGGATTATGCTAGGAGCTGATAGCTCTGGGGGGTAACAGAGGTAAAGTTGCTTCACCCTCTATGGATTAGCAGCAAGCCAAGCTAAGCTTCTATAATCTGAACTAAAGAGAAAAAAAAAAAAAAAATACAGAGCGAGCAGATCTATGTTTATGTTTGGGGTGGTCTTGAATTTCGATTTGCTAGACCAAAGTGAAACACTTGCTCTGTTTTATTTGTTTTCTGAGTCGAAAATCTGGAATCCAAAAGTGAAAGACGCTTGCTCTTTGTTATTTTCCTCTTGCGATTATCTGTCAACACAAACCCAAAAGAGACGGAAATCTGCTTTCGATAAACACAAAAGAGCAAAACAAAAAAAGGGGAATCCAGAACCAGGCCCAGAAAATCAAAACGAAGAAACAGGGCGAGCAAAGCTATAGCGTTACAGTGGGTCATCAGTCTTAATGGTGGCACACAACATATACTGCAACACAAAACCCAAGAACACATGTGGGAGAGAGAGAGAGAGAGAGAGAGAGAGAGTTATTGTCGTTATGAAAAAGGAAAGCCTATACATGTAATCCTTTCTCTAGCTAGGTGAGCTTTTGATTGTTGGTTCTCTGTTTCTCTCTCTAGACTCTGTTCTTCTCGGTTCTCTTTCTCTTTAATGGCTGTTGTTCTTATGCCTATCACTACCAGTGGCATCTCGCAAGCTGTATGGTTCGTTCTCTCCTTTACTGTTGTTGTAATGTGCCATGAATGCTTTTTTAGAAACTCCAAAGCAAATTTATCGCCCAAACCTACTTTGCAGGTTTAAATGCTCTGCTAATTATTGCCTTTCATTTTCATTTTCTCATCATAATTGCTCCCAATCTGCCATCCATTATCCAGACCAACATACCACCCCAATGATACCTCCAAATTTACAATTCCTAAGCCCGATTTTCTGGTTTTTTAATTTGAATTTGGCTCCGTCTGGGTAACTCAGATTTTCCCATTTCTTTTTCCTGATTTACATTCTTTCCATTTTTTCGTAGAAGGAAAAAACCCGTTATGTTAGTTCAGCTGAATTTGCGGATTTCTTTCAAATTTCTTGAACTTGGGTTAGTTTACCTAATAGTTTCTTCATATGATTTCTTGAGAATTCAAGTTGATATACTCTGCCCTAATGCATTTCCATTTCCATAATTCAGACATACGCTTTTGCCAAAATTCATACACGAAAGGCTACATTTATTGTGGTTTCTTCAAATGTGTTTGTCATATTAATTAACTTGCCACAAACAGCTGTATACGCTAATACTGCCAATTAACTTTGTCTTACTTTTTCCGGTGCTACAGAGAGTAGATATCATCATCGCCATCATTACTACTTCAAAGAGAGAGAAAATTTTACAGGGTAATTTTAAGTTGCACAAAAGCACAAGAAATTGCTTCTTGTTTCCCAGGCCGCGCCGTTCGTGTTTGTCGCTCGTGCGCTTCAAAACCCAGATCTCGAGGCCTTCAGCAGCTTTCTTTTCCGCCATTTGTTACAAATAGTCAGTTGATTGATTGATTGATTGATTGATCAATCGGTTAGTTTGTTGATGATACACTGTTTTTTAGTCCTTTCACCTTTTACCTTTCCTTTCTCCGCCATTCTCTCCTTCTAGTACACATGCCAATCTCTCCATTGCTACTGGGTTTGGTACATGGCACTTGAAGGCTAATAGGGTTTGTTTTGCACGTGCTTAAAGCTCTGATTTGACCCTTGAAGGCATAATAACCGGAGGGTCGGTGATAGATTTTGATTTAGTGTTGTTGCTTTGCATGAAAACCAAGGTATTAGTCTTATTGAAACCTTCAACCTTTGGTCCCTTGTCTTATATTTTATTCTAGTATTCTATCATTTCTAATTTTCTAAGCATTGGGATCCATTTCCATTGGTGGCTTATAACCTTCTAAGAAGGGTTATAATTGGTTCCTCGTACTTGACCCTGTTTGTAGATTATTAAATTTATACACAATTGAGTTGGATCAGCAGTTGTGCATTTCGTTTTTCTATCCTGTTAGGGAGCAAAACCCGGTCCTTGAACTAGGGATACTTGGTGGGTATATAGGGAGGTGGGTTTGAGTAGAGCTGTTGCTTATTTCATTGTACAGAGAAAGGGATTGGAGAGTGGTTTTGGATGTGGAATATTGGCCTAAGTACAAGACATGCTGCATTCACTAGAGGAAGAAGATGATTTGTTCTTTGATTCTGCAGATTTTTTGTCAAGTGAAGAGACAACTGTAGCAAATGACTTGCAGTTTAAGGAATTAGATTATGAAATTTGGTTAAGTGAACCTCGAAGTGTTGACGAAAGGCGAGACGATTTTTTACAGAGGATGGGTTTTATTGAAGTTCCTTCCAGGAATAGGATTGATAAGTCATCACAGGAAATGGGATTAGAGAGTGTAAGAGAATGCAATGAGGCTGCTTCTAGTTCTACAGCTTCATCTGTTGAAAGAGCAGAGGATAATTCAGTTTTCATTGGAAGGGAAATGAACTTTGAAGCCAATAGCATGGTGGATGATGAAGAAAACTTCAATTTTGAAGATACAAATTATATGCATCCACTCCCTGCTAATGAAATTAAGGAAAGTCAAGCTCATATTGAAGAATTCAATAATATGAATAAGAAAATGAAGAGCTGGTGGAAACGGTTTTTAAGTTCAAAAGAAAGAAACGAAGGCAGATGGGAAGGTTTAAAAAAGCCAAATTCTAAAGCTAGGAGAATCAAAGTGCAGCAGAATAAGAAGAGGTGCATGGAGTTAACAGGTCTATACTTGAAACAAGAAATTCAAGCTCATGGGGGCTGCATTAAGACAATGAAGTTTAGCCCAGATGGTCAATACCTGGCAAGTGGAGGAGAAGATGGTGTTGTACGCATTTGGCGTGTCATGTCAACTGCTGCTTCATTTCAATTCTTCAATGATGGTGAAGAGTTCAGTAACAATGTCAAAACCGGGAAATCAGGCTTTGGTGGGAAGAAGTCAACCCAAGTACCAATCATCATTCCTGAAAAAGTTTTCCATATTGATGAAACACCATTTCAAGAACTTCGAGGCCATTCCAGCGATGTTCTTGACCTAGCCTGGTCCAATTCGAATGTAAGTTTTGACTTATCTTTTCCAGTACCTCGAGAACTTTTTGATGGGTAAACTTAAGTCCTTTTATATTTTTGGTTGCAGCATCTTCTTTCATCTTCCATGGACAAAACTGTTCGTCTGTGGCAAGTGGACTGCGGTCAATGTCAAAGTGTTTTCCGCCATAACAATTATGGTAAGTTTTTTTCTGTAGTTTCATCAATCTGTTTCCAGTATATATAGAATCCCGGGTTCTTGTATATTCTTATTCTGTTAAATATAGGATATGGAAATAATGGAACAATGTTCATAAATCTAATAATTCTTCTTTAATGAAAACAGTGACATGCATTCAGTTTAACCCTGTGGATGAAAATTACTTCATCAGTGGATCTATAGATGGAAAAGCCAGAATTTGGGGAGTGTCTGAGAGGCGGGTTGTCAGTTGGGCTGATATACGCGATGTAATATCCGCTATCTGTTACCGGCCAGATGGGAAGGTGCAACTCTTGAGATGCATGGATTTATAGTCACTGCTTGCTGTTAACATCTCTATTTCTCATGATGTTGATCATCTTCTGGTTTTGATTCAAGCAGGGGTTTGTCGTTGGTTCGATCACAGGCACTTGCCGCTTCTATCAAGTTTCTGGTATGCTCTTTCTCCTACCCTGAAACAGTTTAATGTAAATACTAACCATGGTTGGTTTTTTTTATCAGTTCCTAATTTACTTATATGCTCTATAGGCAGCGGTGTTGAGCTGGAGGCACATATAAATATCCAGGGTAGGAAGAAAACCAGCACCAATAAAATTACAGGCATCCAGGTATTTATCATTTAAGTTTTTACTAGAACAAGTGCAAATGCTTTGTACAAAATAATTGTTAACATATGGTGTTTTTACAACTTGTAGTTTTGCCGGGATGAGCCTCGAAGAGTGATGATAAGTTCAGATGATTCCAAACTGCGGATATTTGATGGCGTTGATGTTGTCAAAAAATTTAAAGGTACTCATAATCTGCAACTATCACTGAGTCATGAGATAATGTCTCTATTGATTGTAATTTTGCTGAGAACTACGATTGATAGAGTTTAGCTTTTAGACCTGAAGGCAATATGTGCTTAGTAGTTCCTGTATCTGCGTCTGTAATTGATCTAATCCCTAAAGTTTTTTGGGTTTATTGACATATACTGAACCCAACTGCTAATTCTTCAAGATCTATAAAAAAAGGAGCCATCTTTTTAGTAGGTTTTAGTACTTTTATACATCCAGTTCTACAGCTGTGTAGATATAGTTCTTTTGCTATGCATGCGTTGAACTTATGCATGAAATATTAGTTATTAATACCTTATTGGTCCTCTCAACCGTACATTGTATCCAAACATATATGTAAATATAAATATAGACATAAACATGTATGTAGATAAGTTCTAAGTATTGTATATTATCATCGTGATCAATGTCCTGTACTTCAATGTTCACATGTTCCCCTTCCTCATATTTTATATTGGGTTTATGCTGCCTTGATAATTCTAATTTGAACGTTGCAGGTCTGTCCAAGTCAAAAAGTCAGATGTCGGCTTCATTTACTCCCTCTGGGAAACATATAATCTCGGTTGGAGAGGACTGCCGGGTTTATGTCTGGAACTACAATGGCATAAACGACTCAGCATCGAAACACAAGAAATCTGTTCGTTCTTTTGAGCATTTCTTCTATGAAGGTGTGTCTGTTGCAGTTCCCTGGTCAGCCATGGGGACAGACAAGAACAGATTGGGTTGCAGTAGTAATCTGCTGCCATATAAACAGACAGAGGAACATAGAGGATCAGAACGATTCTCGGTTGGTCGTTGGTTCTCCATGGATGGCACCAGTAAGGGCTCTGCAACGTGGCCTGAAGAGAAACTTCCTCTGTGGGATTTGGGAATGGAGGAAGATGATGATCATGGTAATAATAATCCAGTTGACTGTTCTACTGTATCAGAAACTTGGGGACTAGTTGTTGTGACAGCCGGGTGGGATGGAAGAATCAGGATATTCCACAACTTCGGATTGCCTGTGAGGATCTAGAACTTTTTACAGATACCATGGTGGCCTGCTATAATCAGGAGGGGGGTTTTTTGATCTGAAAATCTTGTGGGTCAACTCTATTGACTTGTTTATTTGCTCTGTAGGTTCTTGTTTTCTTGTTGGTGCCTTATTTTTTCTGCTCATTGTAGAGGCAGCCTATACAGAAGATATTCAGCTGTGTTAACAATATTACTCAAAATTCACATGATAAACACAGAAAGAACATACTTTTTTTTTAACATTTTCATCATTTCACTCTTCAGTTTTAGGTTAAATTAAATTATTAATCAATTAATTAATAATTTTATTTTGTATATTTTTCAATTATTGTCGATATTAATTAAGTTAATCAAGCATTTAACATAAAATAATACAAAATAAACATTGATTTAGAAAATAATATTTCACTCTTAATTTATACTAATTTCTCTAAAACAGATTAAAATTAGTGAAAATTTCATATATATATATGAAATTTTCACTAATTTTAATCATTAATTTACAAATCCACCTAATTTTTTTTAAGCTATAAAAGTATTTTGGGTTAATTATTCATATTGAAGTGCTTTAAAAATTTTCTTGCATATAATTATTATTCAATAAAACAAAAAAAAACAAGAAAATAAATTAAAAGGCGGATTTTATTATTATTATTTTTTCAAATATTTAGAACAGAGATATTTTTAAACGGACAAACCCCTTATCTTTTGGTCGGGACGACTGACGAAACCACTGAGCATCCCCAAAACCAAATTTTACGTTGTTTTTGCGGCAGTGTTTTGAAAATATTTGAATCTTGTTTGGGTTCGATTCAGTTTTTCCAGTGAACAATGTCAATCTCTTCTTCGTTCCTACCCACCCTTTCTCCTGACCTCCTTTCTTCATCCTCTGCGTTTCCTGTACCTTATTGGGTTGCTTCTAGACCCCATCCGCATAATTTAGTGATGGATCGTCACTGTTTAAATCGACGGTTGATCATCAACTGCTCGTCTTCTTCTTCGTCGCCTGATTTCGCTTCCGAATCCATGAATATGAGGTGTGAATTCATCACGTGGCTTAACCGGGGCTGTGTCTATAGCGTGTTTGTGAAAATGTCTATGTGAGCTGGTGGCTATTTGGATTTGGGATAATTAGGTTTCGTTACGTTGTTGCCTATGGTTTTTGAGTGAGCCTTTTAATGGGATTTCTGTAAATTCAATGAAATGCTTGGTGCTTAACATCGTTCCTTCCGTTTGCATTTAATATTCTAGTAATTTGGGCTTGAATGCATTTGATTTCCCTGACAAGTATGGGTAAAAATGGGAATAATTATAGTGGTTTTATTGGTTCTTTTGTTGGTATTTTAGCAGCTATCTTTGGTTCTGGATTTTGGTTATGCATGCATTGCAAAGTGAAATCATCGATAGAAAATGGTATTCATCAGAGAAAATAATAAAGCAAGTTGAAGACTTGGAATGGGTTACTGTTTGGAAAAACATATTAAGGGGGAATTAATTTTATTGGTCTTGTAACATCTCTATAGTCAATGGTTTAGAGTAATGGTTTGGGTTTATCATTTCTGCATACTTCATCATTTCTCAGCAGGCAGCCTCCAGTGCCATCAGTAGCCCCCTTTGGAATGAAAATGAATGATGCTGCCATTTCCAGAAGACCATATAAATGGCAAAGGGTCTTGCTTAAAGTTAGCGGAGAAGCACTTGCAGGAGATCACACACAAAACATTGATCCGAAGGTTGGGATGTGAATGATTATTCCACTCTGCATTGCTATTTCTTTCTAATTCCTGGACTTTCTCAAGTATGAGTTTTTGTTTTAATATAGATTACAATGTCCATTGCAAGAGAGGTAGCTTCTGTGACCCGCCTTGGCATTGAGGTTAATCCAAAATCTCTTTCTATAAATGACTGAATTAATTTTTCTTCTTTGTTTCTTTTGAATTTTATTAAATTTAAATATATATTTTTTGGTATTTTTATTTCTTTCTGTGAACATAAATACAGCAATAAGTTTTGTGCATTCCAGAATTGTAAATTTCATGGAATAACAGGCATTGCAAACAGTGGCTTCCACTATTGGTGTCATGTTGGGATTATTAAAAAGAAAGGAATCTCTTTGAAAGAAACAATACATGCAGAGCTATAAGTGCTTGCTCTCTACACGTGAACGTCCTCTTGGGGATACAAATGCCAGTTAAAAACAAAGTCCATTAAAGTCTCACAAAATGGAGCTTGCATACTCGAAGATCAGAGATTTCATTGTTGACTTCTGATTAATGCTGTCTAAATCTGCTATTATTGCAGGTCGCAGTTGTTGTTGGTGGAGGAAATATCTTCAGGGGATCGTCTTGGGCAGGAAGTAGTGGCCTTGACCGTTCATCTGCTGACTATATTGGGTAATTTATTTTATCTAGAATATTTCCATGATGCCTCTTCAAAGAGGTTTTCTCTCGTTTGGTTCTTTGAGTGTTACCTAACGCCATGTAATCTGTATGACCACATACTATCTTTATTCACCAATTTGAAGTTTTAGATGCAGACTTCTATCATTTGAAATGTGGGATATTCTAAAATGGTGCCTTTAGATTCCATGCCTTGTACACTATCTTGTTTCTTGGTTACACCACTATTTTTTCTTTTTGAAATAAAAGAAGATTCGAACTAAATGGTATCAAAGGGGTACCGCCCTTATGTAAAAGGATGTTACATGTCAATTAGCATATCAACAACCGTTCCAATATCTTCTTGGTTATACCACTATATTATGTATTGTATGCTCTACTTAAAATTGTCAATAAATGTGAGTGCTCTCAGATAAGCATGCCCATTTCTATGAGAAACCACAATAAGCTTCTCTGTAAGATCAATGGACTATAAATTTTCTTTGAGACTTCCGTACAAATTTCACATTATTTGCTTAACTCATTTTGGTAGGATGTTGGCAACTGTGATGAATGCCATATTTCTTCAAGCAACAATGGAAAGTATCGGTATCCCCACACGCGTGCAGACTGCATTTCGCATGTCAGAAGTTGCAGAGCCATACATTCGTCGAAGGGCAGTCAGGCATCTAGAGAAAGGAAGAGTTGTAATTTTTGCAGCTGGAACAGGCAATCCATTCTTCACCACAGATACTGCTGCAGCCCTTCGCTGTGCAGAAAGTAAGTAATTAATTCTGTAATCTGTACCTGAATGCATAAAGGCATCATGGGAATGCTATTATTGTCACGATCAGTTTGGTATTTTCGGTATATCTATTCCAGTACGTCTATGTGCTGGGCCTGCTGAACCATGTGATGAACTCATTATCTTAAGGTTGTTCCCCACGTATATAACCAAACAGGCAACCCAGAAGATATTCTTAATCTGCCATTGGCATTTAACACTAGAATACCAAACAGATGATTTCATTATACCAAATTGTTTCTTACTCATAATAGAAGTTCAATTTGATCCAGTTAATGCTGAGGTTGTGCTAAAGGCTACAAATGTTGATGGGGTCTACGACGATGACCCCAGGGATAATCCAAATGCACGTCTTATTGATTCTCTAACTTATCATGAAGTGACTTCTAAAGATCTTTCGGTTATGGACATGACGGCCATTACTCTCTGCCAAGACAATAACATTCCTGGTATGTTTGGACAACTGGTAACTAGCTTATACTTTTGAGTTCATGATGGGTGTTTCAATTTCTGATCCCTGTGCTGTGGGAGCATGTATTGATGTAAGGTTCTTTTCCTGGTGCAGTTGTGGTCTTCAATCTTTCCAAACCGGGTAATATCTCAAAAGCAATTATGGGGGAGAGGGTTGGCACGTTGATTGGAGGAACATGGAATTCTAAAGTGGCAACAGCATGAGCAAGGTATTTACCGGCATTTCTGGGCGGCTCCTACTATTGTTGTCCAACATTTTGAACTGCAGGAGAATTGAGTGGGGCTGGAGCTGGCGGTGTGAGTTTCAGCAGTTAAAGGCTTCCCCGGGAACTCTCTAAGAATAAAGATGAAATACAAATTCGAATCTGCTGGTATTAGGCTATTCAGTGACATAGATAGCATTATGAGAGCTGTTTCTGTACATAATTCTGTAGTCCAAAGAATTTTGGCAAATAGTATGTGTTCTGTAATCATCATGAAAGAAAATTGCTGAATATAGATGGCATTATTCTTCAAAAATAACCCAATAACATTAGGTCTGCTCTTCAAGATGGTAAAAGAATTGTTATCTCAATATTTTTTTTGTTTTTTTGCATGCAAATGTTTTTTTTTTTTTCAAAGACAGTTAATTTTGACAAGAATAAGAGAGTTGGGTTACAAGATTTCTTAAAATGAAAAAAAAACATCACTGAAACTAAAAAAACCCATTTATTACTAGAAAAAGAAAACTATTAATTGGACAAGCTTAAAAAAGAAAAAAAGATGGAAAGAAGAACAAACAACCAGAGCAGGAGATTCTCATACGTTTCCAGACAGCTAGAGTTTAGAAATTAGGACAAAGAACATAAATTATCTTCTCCATTTATAGAAAAATAGATTGATTGATTTAATTTAAATGTCAGAAAAAAAAAATGTAATCTATTATTAATTATGTCAAGAGGGCTCAAAATTATTCTACCAATCCCATCCAAAATGGAATATGATTACCACATTATTTTCTCTTACTTGTTGTAATCCAACACCACAAATCTCTGTATCCAACACTAAAACTTAGTCATTAAACTAATTACAGTTAAAAAAATGTAATATTTATTCTTTGATGAATATTATTAGTTATAATATTTGATTTAATAAATTTAAACTTAATAAAAATGTAAGACACAAATAATATTTTTATGATGATTTAATTCTTTTAACTGCTATATTTAGAATATATTATTATCTAACCAATCGATTTTCCAATTAAAGAAAAAAAAAATAACATACAATTTGACAATTACAATTACTCTACTCTAAATCTTGCAATGCTAAACCAATGCCTACTGCTCTACAGTTGTTCCTCTGCACATACAAAATGTCGCTAAAATGCAATTAGTCGCCACTAAAAATCCCAAAAGTAACCAAAAAAATCAGGTGAAAGCGTCGGAGAAACTATAGGACCTGAAAGTAACCCAGATGGGCTACCCACAAAGCTGCTCCCATGAAACAGTTGGATGCTTGGCTCGTAAACCGGCGAGAAAATTCCGGCCGGAATCGGCGGCAACGTCTCCGGTGCTGGAGATAAGATTCCCGGAACAACACCCAATTCTATCCCTCCCGCTTCCACAATATCCACCACTCCTTCCGTGTTGCAGGGGGCTCTCTCCCTGGGACTGGCTTTCTCCGTGGCCGCCAGCCTGGCCGCGGGGGAGATGTCTCCGGAGCCTGAGAAGTCGGAGGAGGAAAGCCCAGTGAGGCGCTGGACGATGGTCATGAAATTCGCGACGGTGGCGTGGACGATCTTCGGAGAGACGGCGTAGATGACAATCGGAGCTGGAGGATCAGCGGGTTCCGGTGGACGTTGATGTGGAGGAGCGGGTGGTTTGGGGGGTTTCTTGATTTTGTGGGAGTCTTTGCTGACGCTGAGCGGAGGAGGCCGAGAGCCTTGGATCTGGAGTTGGCGCTTCATCGGGGGTTTGCCACCGGCGGAATCCATGGATGGATGAAATAAGTGGAGGTTTGAAGAGGGAGAAAAAATGGAGGCATCAAGTGGAAGTTGAGAGGCAATGAATGCTCTACTGGATCTTCTTGTATTCTGGTCTTGGGGAGAGAAAAGTCAAAGTGAGAAAATTTGACTTCCAAAATGTATAGTCCACTCAGAAAAAAGAAAAAAGTATGAAAATTTATTTACTCTCTCTTTATTTTTAACCCATTAAGTATTGACTGTCTTCCTTCAAGTTGTTTTTTCCATTAAGTTTTTAGGAGGGTAGTTTGACATATATATACAGACACACACACACACACATACCCTATATCTATAATCCAAACTTCCCCCATCCATGAATCTGTGACCATCTTAACTCTCATCCTCCAAGTAACTTCACATGGCAATTTCTTGCTTCAACATGACTCAACCTAAATGTTCCATACGAAAATTTGAAAAATAAAAGAGAGATATATACATTTTTATTAATACATTAATACAAAGCGAGATGCCTATAGTGAGAAATGAAAGGGAAAAGGAGAAAAAGAGAAAAGAAAGTAAACTATTCATAAACTTTGGCATGATTTTGTTTTACGCATTGTTAATATCAAGTGATCTTTAGTGAGAACAAGCCTTCTTTTTCCTTTTGTTTCTTTATTTTTTCAAGATTTTTCCACTATATCCTCCTTTGTTTATACTTGAAACACAAGGCATTTATGTGGACATAAACATAAACATACCAGCAGAGATTTTAAACAGATGTTCTCTTTTAGAATCTTTAGAAGAGAAGCCTAACACAAGAATGACTCCTTTTTAGGAATCCAAGACAAATTCTACTGTTTTCTTACTCAGAAATTCCTTTTTGATCATGGTTTACTGTTATATAATCTGAATTATTCAGTCATTAACTTGTTCATATCGACAAAAGGGTCATCAATGCAGCTTGAACAAATGCCCTCCAGAGACTTCACCCAGGAAAATGTGCTGCCGGGTGTGACAACAACAATTCCTTCAGGATCACAGGGAAGCTCAAGCAAAAACCAAGGTGTTAAATTATATTCTATCTATATATATAAATATTACTTTCAAACCTCAAAATCTAATACCCTTCTTTAGATTCTTCAAGCTAGTTAAATTTTTGCCATGATTAGACAATCAAGTTTCCATCTTTAACAAACCTTGCAGAGACGAAAGGGGCTGAGTACCTTCAATATCTTCCCCTCTACAAGGCTGTGGACAATGGTGATTTAGAAGCAACCAAACATTTTATTGACCTTCATCCTAATGCACTAACTGCAAGCCTTTCGGCAGATAAAGAAACGGCTCTTCACATTTCAGTTTTAGCCGGACACATAAAGATTGTTGAGGAACTGGTCAAAAGGATGCATCCAGAGAACTTGACAGTCAAGAATAAAGATGGTGCCACTGCCCTTATCTATGCTGCCATTGGAGGTATTGTAAAGATTGCAGAATATTTGGTGACAAAGAATCATCAACTGCTTAGTGCTGGAAATAAGTACGATCAGATTCCTGTTGTGGTGGCCTCTCTTTATGGACATAAAGATCTGGTGCGGTATCTTTACTCTGTGACTCCTCTTGAAGCACTTGCTCCAGAACGGTCTAATGGAGCTATGCTTGTTACGACTTGCATAATTAATGACGATTATGGTATAAAGCTAAAATGATATCTCATTCTATAACCGGTTTAGGTTGTTTTCTCATTAAATTTTCATATTGATTTTGACTTGTTTCTTGTCCTTAAGACATTGCTTTGGATCTTGTTCAACAATATCCTCGCTTGGCATATGCTCAAGATACTGATAACGACAATGCGTTGTATGTATTGGCTCAAAAACCTTCTGCATTTCCGAGCGGAACCCGACTGGCATTATGGCAACAATGGCTATACTCGTGCAAGTACCTCATAACTTTCTATGCAAATCAATCTGAAACTACATTTTTAGCTCTACTCAATG